GGGGCAGGGCCTGCAGGTGCCACCGGGAGCCGAGTGCCCGCCGCCGCTGCCGGGCCTGAGCCCACGTTTGCAGGGAGGCTTTAATAAGGCCGAGTGAGGCAAGGGGCACTCTGGCCTACCTTGGTACCTCGGGGGTGGGCGAAGCCCTCCGGGTGGCCTGGATTCCCTTCCGCATATCTGTTACCAGGTCGGTCTGGATGGCGGCTGCCAGCCTGGAACCTGCAGGCTTGAGTCCAGGGCGGCCTCCCCATGCTGGCTGCTCACTCGAGTCTCCCATCCTGTCCAGAACTCCAACGTGGAGAACCTGCCTCCCCACATCATACGCCTGGTGTACAAAGAGGTGACGACACTGACAGCCGACCCTCCGGATGGCATCAAGGTCTTCCCCAACGAGGAGGACCTCACAGACCTGCAGGTCACCATCGAGGGCCCTGGTGAGTGCGGGCATGAGCGGAGGAGGCCACTTCCTGGTTCTTGCAGCTGGCTGTTGGCCACACAAGGCCCCAGACACCCATTACAGGCTGGTCCTGCAGTGTTGGGCATGTGGTGGCTGTGCTCATGGCTGCAGTGAGCCCTGGGAGAACACAGTTGGGATTTTACCGAGGTTTGGGGTGAGGCCGTCAGGGTGGCTCCCCCCCGGAGCCTGAGGATGAGTAGGAAGTTGTGGGAACAGAGTTCCTGACACTGTCAGTGTCAGCAAAGGCTGGGAGGATGGGCCAGGCAATCTGAATCTGTTGGGCAGACACTGGGTGACTGGGGATAGGGCAGGGCACAAGCAAAACCTGATATTATAGGGGACGCAGGTGGGGATAAAGCGATCCTGTTGGCTCATTGTATCTTGAGAGCCGTTGAGGATTCCATTTTGTGCAAACCACATTTCTGTCAGCGCTTGAATTCCTTTGAGGCCAGCTGAGGTGTCCAGGAGCCCAGGGAGGAAGTGATCACTGTAAATCAGTGAGGACCTCCCTGAAGATTTGACAGCTGCAGGTGTCCAGAGCATGGGAAGGCAGCATTCCAGAAAGACAGGCAGGCAGACCTGTGTGCTTTGTAGGAATGAAAATAAGAAAGCAGGCAGTAGATGTTTATCCTAGGCCACTTTTAGGCCCTTGGGGAGAAGGCTCATGTTACATAGGGGTGTGATGGTGCCCTACAGTGTTCTCCCAGAGCTGGAGGTCAGGTGAGAAGCCAGACACCAAATTGCTATGGGATTCAGGGGAGGACCTGGGGCAGCTGCCCGGGATGTGGGTCTGGGCGGTGCGGTGGGAAGTAGCATATCCTGGGCAGTCACTTGGGACAGAAGGGGCACCCAGGTCATGGAGATACGGGAGGAGGCCACAGGACATGGCGTCTCTTAAGGAATGAAGGGTAAAGTCTTTGGCCCTTGGAGACCCAGCCCTTGTGCTGTCAGGAACCCCCCAGCCTGTAGGGCACCATAGTGTGCACTATATGCCAAAGCAGAAAGGATCATAGTTTGAGGCCAACCTTAAGAAGGGGGCTGAGGATGTAGCTCGGTGTCTGGTGCAAGGGCTTGGGTTCAGTCCCCTGAACCGCCCAAGATAAAAGGGGGCGGATATGCGGCTGAGTGATGGAGTATTGGTCCAGCATGCCTGGCCTCCAGGTTCAGTGCCCAGTACTGCAAAACATCAGCCAGCCTGGTAGAAGAGGACATGGATGGAGCAGGGCACCTGCCTATGCCACACTGGAGAGGGCGCTGAGGTGCTGTGGGGTGCTGGGAGTCCCAGCCCTCACCTGTCTCTCCTTGCTTCCCTCCAGAGGGGACTCCCTATGCTGGGGGTCTGTTCCGCATGAAACTCCTGCTGGGGAAGGACTTCCCCGCCTCCCCACCCAAGGGCTACTTTCTGACCAAGATCTTCCACCCGAACGTGGGTGCCAATGGCGAGATCTGTGTCAACGTGCTCAAGCGGGACTGGACAGCCGAGCTGGGTATCCGGCACGTGCTGCTGGTGAGTGCCGGCCAGGCCGGGGCGCTGCAGTCTTCTCCACGCGGTGTGGGTGCATGGGGACGGATGTGCACATTCACTGGGGGCCTGGTGTTTCTGCCAGATCATGGAGGGACTGAAGCACAGGAGCCACCCCACTCTCTTCTGCACTGGGCCTGGGCTCCTGGCCCTGCAGTGTGTGGTGGCAGGTAGTGTGGTCAGAGAAGTGTTTTTATTTGAGTACCTTACCAGAGATTTCCCCATAGCTCAGTGGTTTTAATACTAACAAGGTCTGTGCAGCCATCAGGGCTCTCTTCATGCTGGGTTGTTTTGCTGCACTCCTGTCCCTCACCCAGGGCCAATGTGGCCCCAGGGACATTCTGCATTGTCACGAGACCTTGGTTGTCAGCACTGGCGCAGGTGCCACTAGCATCCCCTGCATCCATAGCGCTTGCTGTCCCCCCAGGTGTAGACACCCTGGTGTAGGCCAGATCTCCACGGTCCGCAAAGGCCACTTAAAGCATTTAGATTCCTGGTCCCTCCCCTGCCCTTCCCAGAAGCTTAAAAAATTGTAGTTTTGGTGGGGGCAGTGGGTGGTGCTGGTGTTGGTTTTTGTTTTTTTGTTTGTTTTGGCACTGGGGAACTCCGGACCTTGTGCTTTCAAGGCAGACAGTGGCACGAGAGCTAAATCCCCAGTCCCACTTGTTTTGGTTTTTTGAGATAGTCTCTGTAGTTCAGGCTGGCTTTGAATTTGTGGAGATCCTCCTGCCTCAGCCTCCACCTTAAAAAAATATTTTTTAAAGGAAATTTGTAATGAGCCTGTGGGGCAGAGGGGAGCTGGGATTTCCCCACCCGGGGTAGTAGATGCTTTGGGATGGTGATAATAGAGAGAAGCCAGGTGTGGTGGCACACATCTGTAATCCATGACTGGGGAGCTGAGGCAGAAGGATGGCACTGAGTTCAAGACTAGCGTGAATTAACAGCAACCTTGTCTCAACAAACAACCAAAGAATCAGGGCTAACTCTGCACCTCACAACAGCCAGGAGCACTGTCACTGTTGCCTGCCTCAGGCCAGGCTGCTTGGGCCCCACCCTTGCGTGTGTGTGAAGGGGCACCGTGCATGGGGACTGTGTGTGCCGCCCGGGCCCTGCCTCCGACCTCTGCTGTCCCTCGTGCCCAAAGACTGCCGACGTCTTCTCTCCTGTGCAGTGCCTCTGGGGTACAGCTCAGCCCTGCTGGGCTTGGATTAGGGGTGCCTGTCACAGCTGAGGGCTGGAACCCTAGCTCCGAAGACGGCTTGCCGTGGTCAGTGTCGGTTCCTGGACCATGTGGCGGACGGGCTGACCTGGGCTCCCTCTCCTTCCCTCGCTCCGCAGACCATCAAGTGCCTGCTGATCCACCCCAACCCCGAGTCCGCGCTCAACGAGGAGGCTGGCCGGCTGCTGCTGGAGAACTACGAGGAGTATGCGGCACGCGCACGCCTCCTCACCGAGATCCACGGTGGTGCCAGCGGGCCCAGTGCCAGGGTCCCTACCGGGGGTGCCGCCGCAGCCTCCTCTGCTGCCCCCGCCACCCCTGGGGTTCCGGGTGGGGCCGAGGGCCCCATGGCCAAGAAGCACGCAGGGGAGCGCGACAAGAAGCTGGCAGCCAAGAAAAAGACGGACAAGAAGCGGGCACTGCGGCGGCTGTAGGGCTCTCTGTGGCCTCTGCCCTCCCTTATCTCTTAAGTTATTTAAATTATGGTTGGGTGGGCTAGGGGGCACTGGGGTCTGGATTTGGTTTTCTAAATAAAGTTGGAAAAACAGCATGTGACTGGCAGGTGCCCAGCGAGAACAGGACAGCCTGTCCTTGGGCATGGGGCGATCACGCCATCTTGGGAGGGCCTCCCTGTGTGAAGGGGGTGCAGCCTGGGGTAATGCCCACAGTCCTGTCCCCTGCATCAGCTGGTCCCAGCACCAGCCTCTGGTTTTGACAGTTTAAATCCAGTCCTCAGCACCCCAAACCCAGGGCTTCAGCTGCTACCGCCTGAGCTTCTGTTGCAGAGCTGATCAGACCTTCGGGCAGAGGGGCGCCTGTGCCTACTAGCCTCCCTACCCCAGTGGCTGCTGCTGGCTGCTCATCCAGGGTTAGGGGAGATCCTTGATGAGCCCGCCCCAGATCCAGGGGACCCATCACAGCAGTGTGGCCTCCCCTAACAGGTATATCGGATGTGTACTCCAGGGTGGTTTACACCCTGACTGGCCTGTAGGTGAGCAGGAGCCTAGAAGGCTCCTTTGCCCTGGAAAGCTTGGTCTGAAACAGCCTGAGAACCTGAAATGAGCTGGGTGACCCGTTGGGGGCAAAGCAGCCAGACCTATACCTCTCATCCTCACCGGGTTAGGGGAGAAGCCAGGCTTCCAGGACATTATGGGATGGCACAGCACTGCCCCTTCTGTGGAGCAGTGCCAGGCACTCAGGCCTGGTGCCACGAGCAGCCAGCACTGCCAGACCCCGGGTCCCTGCCCTCTGGGTCGCGTGGGGGGAGCATCCTTTGTGCCCAGCAGCTTCAGGACAGGACTACAGGGGACTGGAACTGAGGCAGCCACAGGGCCAACTGTAGGGCTGGGAGCTCCCTGGGGTGCTGCCGCTGCTCACTCCTGGCAGCCTTCCTCTCCTGCTTCCCTTGTCTTTAGACCAGGTCTTCCTATGTAGACTGGCTTTGAACTCACTATGTGGCCCAGGCTGGCCTTGAACCTGGCAGTGGTCCTGCGTCAGCCACCATGGCACTGTGATCATGGGCTGTACCACCACGCCTGACTTCACTGCAAAGCCAAAGGTGATCCACAGAGCCCCCTGCTGAGAGGCCCCTGCTGGCGTCTGGAGAGAACGGGGCTGGAGCCGGAGGAGAGACTCACATCTCGTGTCAGGGTTGTAAGAACAGCTGAGCTGCATGTGCCAACGAGCACTGAGTGTGGACCACATGGCCATCGGGCATGGTGGCACACCCTGTAATCCAGCACTCAGGAGGCTGAGGCAGGAGAATCAGTTAGAAGCTGGGCTAGACTACATAGACTCAGAACAACAAAAAGATAAACTTGAGAATAACTCCAGGGAACAGGAAACACACAAAGTGACACGTAATTGAAGTTGGGTACTGCAGCACATACCTATGGTCCCAGCCACTAGGGAGGCTGAAGCAGAAGGAAGCAGGACTGCAAGTTTGAGGTCAGCCTGCACAAGGCTAAGACCCTATCAAGAAAAGTGCTTGGGCCATAGCTCAGAGCAAGGCCAGGGCAATCCCCAGCCCTGGGGTGGGCCTGTGTCACGGAAGGCAAAGTGGAGCAACCATGCTGAAAACGTCTGCAGACGTGAATGGGACCAGTCCCCAGTGTACAGAGCTGCTCTGAAGCAGACTGGCAGGGCTGGCAAAACCTTAGGACAAGTGCTTCACCCAAGTGAAAATTTATGTGGCTACTAAACACACAGCAGGTGTCCAATGTCCTCAGTAGCTGGAAAAAATTCAAATGTAAACCAGTTGATGCCACTGTCCTTCCATAAAATTAGCAACAATTACAATGTCTGAGCCAGCTGTGGTGGCGCATGTCTGTCATCCCAGCATTGGGGAGGCTGAGGCAGGAGGGTCAGTGTTCAAGGCTAGCCTGGTCTAACAGTGAGACCCTGTCTCAAAAAACCAGCCATCTGCAGTGTGCACAGCACTGTCTGTTGTGTAAAATAAAGAAGAGGTCAGAGGGTATATAAATTCCTTGTATTCAAATAGAATTTCCCCAGAAAAATATACACAAACCTTGTAACATCAGTTGTCCCTGATAAAGGGAACTGGTTGTCAAGGACACCAGAATGAAAACAAGCTTTTATTGTAGAAACCATCTTTAACATTTAAATAGTTATTTTGAACAAGGTCTTACTATGTATCCCAGGCTGGGCTCAAACTTGTCATCCTGCCTCAGCCTCCTGACTGCTGGGATTACAAATGTGCACCGACGTGCACGGCTCGCCCCATTTTGCATGTACAGGAAGGTTGTGATACAGTGCCCTTTGCCAAACCTCCGTACTACACAGAGTCCTGACACCAGTGTGTGTGTCGGGCCGACAGAGCACCTACCCATGACTGCCCACTTTGTGACCCAGACAACAGGGTGCTCTCTGCCCAGTAATCAGCCCCTTGGGAAAGCCAGGCTCCATGTTTGGGAGCATCCCTGGTCCCCAACACTCTGGCTGTGCTGTCACCCACCAAGAATCAGGTGTGACCTGCTGTGGGGACAGAGGAGCAGTGACCAGCACCTGTGCAGGAAGCAGACCCTGGCCGGAGTGCAGGCGGACAAGGTAGGCGGGGTCACTAGCAGGTGGAGGGACTTGGACCCTGGAAGTCCCTTCTGGGATGGCAAGGGTGCTCTAGAACTGGACAGAGGCTGCGGTTGTGCAACTCTATAGATTGACTGAAGTTACTGTGCACACCTGTAATCCCAGCAATTCAGGAGGCTGAGGCGAGTAGCTCAAGTTCAAGGCCAGCCTGAGCAACTAGCCAGACCCTGCTTTAAAGTACTGGATTTCTCATCAAACATGTACTAATACAAATTTTCAAAGTATTGCTTGTGTACTTTATTAAAGGGTGAATTTTGTTAATTCTGTTTAAAATATGTGGCAAGTCTTTTTTTTTTTTGAGACCGGGTCTCATGCAATTCAGGCTGATCTCAATCTCGCAGTGATCCTCTTGCCTCATCCTCCCGAGTTCTGGGATTACAGGCGTGTACATGTGCCACCGTGACTGGTCAGAGCCTTGGTTTAAGCCAATAATCATTCTTCATGGGTGCAAAGGTCACCTGGGGGTGATGCGGGCATCAGCCAGCCCGGGGCCTTAGCTACCTAACAACATAACAATGGGACAAATTCACTTTTGCCTCTGCCTCCAGAATCCAGGCAGGGCCGGCTCTCAGCCTTCAGTGAGGAGCTACACTTGAAGCTGACCATGGACAGGATGAGGGGAAGATGCAGGGGAGGGAGCCCGGTGCTGGGCCTTGCTTATCCTGTGAGCCGGGGGGAAGGGGGGAGCCAGGGGGGTGCCGCGCCTCAGCAGGGTCTGGCCTCAGGACCCCTGGTCAGGATAAGCCTAACCCTCTCCCCAGCTGCAGGGAGGGGCCAGAACCTACCTGCCAGGGTAGCTAGGAGGGACGGGCGGCATGTGCACACGCCACAGGCACCCACGGGTATCTGCCACCCACATCTGGAGACACAGGTGGCCTCTGACTTCCCACAGCAAGGGTGCCAGGTCACGCATTCAGCACCAACAGTGAACTTTAGCTCCCTAGCCGCTTCACATTGGAAAGCAAGCCAGTGTGGTGACTCACATCTCCAATCCCGACATCCAGGAGGCTGAGGCAGGAAGAGCGATGAGACCAGTGTGGGCTATAACCTCAAAAATCCAACAGACGCAGGGTTGGGGAGAGGGGAACCCAGGGATGCTAACTCACACCTTACACACGGCGGCCATGGAAGACCTTGCAGAAGGCTCAGAACCAGAAGAGGCTTTGAGGCCAAAGGCCCAGTAATCTCCAATCCCGACATCCAGGAGGCTGAGGCAGGAAGAGCGATGAGACCAGTGTGGGCTATAACCTCAAAAATCCAACAGACGCAGGGTTGGGGAGAGGGGAACCCAGGGATGCTAACTCACACCTTACACACGGCGGCCATGGAAGACCTTGCAGAAGGCTCAGAACCAGAAGAGGCTTTGAGGCCAAAGGCCCAGTACCGAACATAGCCATTTATCCCAGGTCCTCAACTGCTCATTCCCCAGACAGGGACACACCAGGCAAATACCCACAGGCCACTTGGGGCTCCTTCCTGTGGCCGGCCACCTCAGACCCCAGGTCCCAAACCCTGCCGTGGTACAGGACCCAGGGGTTTTGCAGTCTGGCACTGGGAGCCCCCCCGAAGGTACTGCGTCCCCAAGACTAACATGAACGAGCCAACACAGTTGTGACTGACGTGGCCACAGCCAGCGGAAGCTGGGCTCTTTATTGCTCAGGGGTGGCTCAGGCACTCTTGGTGGGGCGGGTCCGCTTCCGCTTCACCATCACAGGCTTCTGGCTGCGTAGGATGGCACTGGCTCTGCGGATGGCGGCCTGAGAGGGAAGGCAGAGTCTTGGAAGGGGGGCGCAGAGGGTCCCCGGCCCTCCCCTGCCCTGGACCAACCCTCACCATGCGCAGGTCCGGGCGGTACTTGTTCTTGCGGATCATGTGGCGGATGCTGCTGAGGGTGGCGCGCGCGTTCTTGTTGATGGTGGTGCGCACGTAGGAGGTGGCTGGCTTCCGCTGACCTGGTGAGGGGGGACCGTGCTATCAGCCAACTGTCGGGGCCATCCATGACTGCCTCACCTTTCAAGAACCAGGGTGCGCTCAGCCCAACACTCTGTCCCCCCCAGTCACTCAGCCAGCACCCAGGCCACACCTTCCACACTTGGTATATACATCTTGTGCCCGGAAACTGACCAGAACAATAGGAAATAGGACAAAGACTCTTACTTAAGGTCACACGTGTAGCAGAGCTGCTATTCTCAACCTAGGCCACAAAACGCCAGACTACAGCACTTCAGGGGTGATGGGAGAGGCACAGCTAGAGTACTCTGTCCGTGATCAAAAAGCAAACAATTCGTCACGCCCAGCGCAGAGATGCACCCCTGTAACACAGGCGCTCTGGCCGGCTGAAGGATCACCAGACAACTGAATGAGACCCTCACTGACACAGAGAAACATCTAAAAGGGCTCGAGATGCAGCTCCAAGCAAAGGCCTGGGTTCAAATCCCAGCACCCCTCCCCCAACAAGAGCAAGAACAGACATGCAGACAAACATCCTAGAGACGCCCCCGCTTCTCCAGTCACCTTGGGGAGACCCCAAAAGGCCTGTCTGCGCCAGACACCAGTCTATGGAGCTAAGGGCCTCAGGGCACTGTCACAGGCCACAGGAGGACAGGGAGGCTCCTCCTAACCCAGCCTGGCCTCTCCATGTGGGGCAGCCTCTTCCCTGACCGCTATCTTATCAGGTCCCAGGCGGAGAGGTCCACCCTGATCTGAGTTGTTCTAAGGATTTAAATTTTTTTGAGTTTCCGCATGCCTTTCAGACTCGCCTTGACCTCTATATAATCCAGGCCGGCCTCCATCCTCCTGCCTCAGCCTCCACAGTACTGGGCTTACAGTACAAGCCTGCTGTGCTGTGCCACCACACCTAGTCACCTCTTAAGGATTTTAATCTGAAACGGTCAGACAGCTGTAGGACCTAGTTCTGCAGTGCAATCTTCACAACACCTCGTCCGCTGCTCCTTCTCCCATTCTCTCCGCTTTACTGGGGAGGACACAGGTGAGAGGCCCGCCTGGCTCGCAGGGCTCGGTCAGGGAGGCTAGGGCGCCTTCGCAGGTCGCCAGGGAAGGGACGCTCACCAGATCTCCGTTTCATGACCACCACGACCCCCTTGCCGTCGGCCGCCGGCTCCACGCCCACCGTCTTGCGGTGAATCAGCCCGTTGTAGCGAAAGGAATTGCGGGCCTTCAAGTTATTGGGCTCCTGGGAAGAGAGGGGAGGGCGGGAGATGAACCTCAAGATGCCAGAACGAGACCTGGCCCGGTCTCCCCACCCACCCCGCGGGCCGCCGGGGCCGCTCACCGTGCTGTACGTCTGCTTATTTCTCTTGATCAGGAAGCTGGAGCAGTTCCGCACTACCATCCACTGCAGGTGCGCGGACATGGCGGCGGCTGTGGCTGCGGGGGACGGGAAAGTGGAGGGTGTCAGGGGGCAGCAGGGAGGGCGCGGGCGTCCACGCGGGGCAGAGACTGGGGCCGGGTTACCCCGAGGGACCGAGACCTAGGGCGGCGGGCCTAACTCGGGCGGCCGCGAGGGTGGGAATAGGGCCGTGCACGAGGTGCCACAACTTCGGGCGGCGGAATGGGGGGGGGCTGCCAAAGGCGCGTGGAGTTCAACAGAAGCCGGACAGGGGCCAGGGTCCGTGGGCTGAGGGCACAGTAATGGCCATGCGGGGCGCACCGACGTCGCACGCTCACCTCCTTTCGCTGCGGCAGCCGGAGATGGAAAAAGAAATGCCAGGGCGGGGCGCCGCCTTTAATACATCACACGCATTTCCGCTTCCTCTCAGAAGTAGCTAGCCGGGGTTCCCCTCCGCTTCCGCCCAGCCTAGGAGGCGACTCGGCAACATTCGGCTATTTCCGTGGAGCTCTGGTGCCTTAGAACATGTTCCGCTGTTGCCGGCGGTGGAATGCTGCCGTTTCACGCGCCGTTCACAAGTTCTCTGAATTCCTCGGCTAGATCTCCGAATGGGTCCATATCGAGAAGTACCGAGACCTATTTCTCAGTAACGTCGGTCCGGTACTCCTCATCCAACCCTTGGCACTATCCTTAGCACACGATGGGTACTAAATAAGCACTTTTTTTTGAATGAGCGTGTGAACTCATGGGGCCATTTAATGGTAGCCCTAAAGTGCTCAGATACTTCCGGTTTTCTTCGTAAGCTCTCGGCTTTTCCCCGTTCGGACATTTTCGGAATAACCTGGAAAGGCGCCAAGATCAGTCGGCCGCCTAATCCTATTCGCCCTTGTCCAGTTCGGGTCTGTTCGGAAACACTCGGTCCCCATTCGGCCACACGAGGAATCTTTCGGCTAAACCCAGTAGCCCTTGGCAGTTTGGGCTCTCCCCGGTCTTGAACTCTGAAATCAAGTCTGGGGAGAACTAGACAGAACTGTCTGGGCGACTTCACCCCAAGGAGAGCGTGGGGTTTCCCCTGAGGGCGAGTCTTTGGGAGAGGAGCTTTTAAGTGACCCCTCGTGGTTTCTCTTTAAGGGTTCAGCACTAGCTCGCCCGGATTCTTCCCTGCGCCTCCCTGCCTCCGGCCCCGAGGTCCTCCCAGTCACCCCTAAAGCTCCCTGGAAGTGTGTTGTCCGTTGGCAGGGCCATCCAGGGGGTACAGGGACCTCTGGAGACCCCTGTTTAACCAACGGAGTGCCCATGCCGCCTCCGTCGGCGAACCTTTCCCCGCGGTGCTGGAGACTGAGGCAGGACCTTGGCACTAGTGAGATCCCAGCCCTTTTTTATTCTAAGACAGGGTCTCGCTAAGGTCCCCAGGGTACTTGCGATCCTCCTACCTCAGCCTCGCAGACTGCTGGGGTCTCGTGCGTGCACCATCATGTCCACCCCGGCTGATCGTGGTTTCTGGGCTCACCTGCGCCCACCATGGGCCCTGGCTACCTCCTCACGGCATCCTGAAGGCCGTGTGTGTGACCGGGGACCAAACCCAGCGGAGCTATACCAAGACCCACAACTCCAGTCTTCCCAAGTTCCCCAGGTGGGATTTGAACCTGTGACCCTCCTGACTCAGCCGCCCAAAGTGCTGGAATTACACCCTCAAGTTGAA